CAACTGCACCAGCATCATCATCCGAAGCAACGGTGTCAACAGAATCAACTGCACCAGCATCATCAACAGAATCAACTGCAACAGCATCATCAACAGAATCAACTGCCTCGGCGTCATCAACAGAAACAATAACATCAACTCCTTCACCAGACGCAGCGGAAATTCCAGACGAGACACAACGTGATGCTATCATAGCGGAACACAAACGGTTACGTGACAATGTCGACCCTCCTGCGAAGAAAATGGAGGAGCTGGTAAATATATAAGCCGATTTTTTGGTAACCGAGGCCAGTCTAATTAGCTGCGATTGTTTGAAATAATGCTTGGTGAAATGGATGTCTCGGTGACTGATTCTTTGTGATTATTTAGAGCTACACGCTGAACATGGAAACGTTGGCTGCGGCATGGGTTAAGGATTGCCCACTCGATAAGGTCAAGAAGGCGGATACTAAAACTGGGAGGACGACGTATATCGACGAAGACAACAAACTAACGTTTGCTCAGATGATTGATAAAATTGGTGACGAAGGTGATGATTTTGATTATGACAGCAATAGTTGCGACGACAAGAATTGTCTGAACTATAAACAGGTAAGCAAAGCATTTCTTCTGAAGTGCACAATTTTCATGATGCGACTTTGCTCACTTCACTTCTCAGCTGAACAAACAGAGCCTTTATAGATCTGTTTAGCTTTTCATAACAGTTCTTCAGTGAAATGAAACAAGAATTGTGGTAAAGGGCAGATAATTGTGGGCTAACCGGTCGAAGACCTTGGTGATTTTAGGAAACTTTATATTAATCATATTTACATGGCTCCTAAACAGTAAAAATATTTTGCGTTAGTTGAACTGAGGCGATCAGGCATACAGAGGACCCCAATACCCAAGTGCATGAATCTGGTTCAATTTTGACACAGATCGTTCTTTGTCACTTTAGGTAATATGGGCTAATACAAAGGAAGTTGGATGTGCAAAGATGAAATGCGCTGTAAAAGATGATGAAGATGAAGATAACGAGAAAGCTACACTCATGGCCTGTTTCTACACACCCACGTAAGTTGAACGCCTGCTAATTTATTGTAGCAATGTTATTTCCTAAGATTAGCGTTTTACAGTAAAATTGCTAAATCAAATGCTATTCAAACGAAATCAATGCAGTTTATGCAGCCTTCAACTTACGGGGACACAAATGAGCTTGTCAAATAGCTTGACACATTTAAATAGGAATTTTCGGCGTAATTCAAATTTATTTCTGTTCACTTTTCTAGTGGCAATGTTGGGGAAGAGCGTCCTTACGAAAAGAACTCAGGTTTTGCCATTCTACCCACCATTGGGGTGTTAATTTCAGCAATGCTTGCGACTCACTGTTTCGCGTAGACCTTTTCTTCAGCGTTCCTTTCACATCATAAAATATTTCTTCAATTGTTTTTAATTATGCGTAGTATTTTTGTTTACAAAAGTTATTGTAAAATGTGAATTCAAACAAAACCATTTTCGAGTGACTGGCTAACTTCAATGGCATTTCCAGTAGATGACTGTGGTTTTCATAGCACGACAGAGTTGTTTTGTGTTTACCTATAGCTGGCGGCGAAAGGCATTGACGATATGCCTGCGTGTTCTATAGCTCGTTATGAGATTATTTAGAGGGTTTAAGAATTGGGATAGTTCTAGAATTCCAATTAACACATTTTAAGGTTGGTTTGTTCGACCATTGGCAAGTTACTCACCTTGGTTTTAAATTCCAAGCCGAATTCGTTTATCTGACCTGACATCGTCTTTTACATCAAGAACGCTGAATTACATGTCGGCGATCTGTCACTGCTGCCATTGTAATTTCTTCGCTTATGGTACACAAAAATTCGGAGGACATCATAAGTGCAGTTCACTACACGCCAAATCAGATTTAAGTGTGCAACATTGAAAGCAATATTTGTCTTGGTTTGTTCTTCCCTTGGTCCATTCATATACACTGCAACAGAGACAGAAAACGCAGTAGTGGATGTGTGCTGTTTGATGTCTCAGCTGCCTATCAACCCCAAAAATCACGACAATGACCAAATGACGCTGCCATCATGGCCCACTCTTTGGCCTCAAACAAGGCCTGAGAGTCGAGGTGGTGACAGCCTACCACGCTAAAGAGTGCTCAGAAGGAAATAAAGAGCAAATATTTGAGGCTCATCCCCCACTGTAGCGGTGCGAGGAGGTAGATTGGATAAAAACCAGCACCCCAAAATCAGGCAAGATAGAGCGACGTATAAAAAAAGAAACACGACAATTACATGACGAGAATTAATTTTACGATATTGTTCATGGTCCTTTAATATCAGCAGCTTCTCTTATTTACCATGCATGAGTGCAAGAGTCACTCGTAGTTAGATTTCTTGGGTTCAGTGTGCAGTAGTCTTTTTAATAGCCGTTTGAGGTAAGTAATATTCTAAGACAGCATATTTGTTAAATATGTGCTTCGACTGCCTCGAGATTATAATGCTCAAATCGTCTGTCCTAAAAGGTCTTCGATAGGCCATTAAACATACTATGACGCTCATTTCTTTGCATCCAATAACTCGGGTTGTAGTCTCTACGAATGTGTTTGCGCATGACTACTCATTTAGGTAGGGCAGCACTTTGGTCAATGAGCTTATGCTATCCAAATTTAACTAACAGACTGAAAATGAGAAAGTTCATTTCCACCAATAAATAGGTAGCAAACAGCGGTCACCGTTGTAGTATGTGAGAACTGTGGTCAAAGGCCTAAATCTGAGGTAAGAAACATTTGACAGTCTTTTTTAATGAGTGAGTTATTTGCTCCATTAATTTTATAGTTTAAAATCTTTGAGATTGCGCATGGCAGGCCCTAGGCAAGAATGCACCAGTGTTAATTAAATATGTTTTAACTGATAACTCTACTAATTGCATTGAAGCGGTGGTTATATTGAGTCACAAATCCATACGTCACCGTAGTTTGTCGTTTGTTGCGTCCGGCGAATGCGCATTTGGAAGGTTTGAGGGCGTCTTAATGTCGCTTTTGTGGTAACGGCACTAGGTTGCTTCCTGTGTTCCCTCAATTGCCATGAATAGGGAATAAATTTTTTTTCATTGATGTTGTTTGGAAGTAAATCCATCCACTAGTAACGCAAAATGTGGCCGTCATCCTGGCAACCTTTTAGCACCCAGATTGTTTCTGCTAGATGCTACGTTCAAGGAGACGAAGGCATTTCCTCGTGAATGTCATCTGCCGCTTTAGCAAGCCCCTTCAACACCGTGTTTGAATTCTATATTCAATATTAATACGTGCATATTTTAGGAGAGTTCTAGTGCATACGTTGCGTAATACTACGTTGTCTGTTTAACAATTCATAATTAAGGTGATCTAATTGAGAAAAAAATTGGGATGCATGCGTGACACCAGGTTTGATACCGGAAATGTGGTGTCGATGACGTGTGAAATAGTCATTTGTGTGAATATAGTATCTTTTATTTTGTGCAGGGTCTTTTAGATAGCATTGTTCCAAATAGATCAAGGACGTCTGTAGCAAAATCAGAGAAAAAGGAAAGCAACTATATGTGAATTCAAGGACAATTAAATGGTAATGTCCTGATTTTAAAAGTCAGTGGTAATTTTTATAAAGCAAATTCATTCCTTAAAGCAGTGCGGGAAAAATTGAAAAAAAATGCTGTTTACTAAACTCATGTTTGTAGTCATTGTTACGAGAGTGCTGTGCAAGCTCAAAAGAAAGCACCAAGCAGCAATGCCTAAAATGTAGCATTCTGTTCATCAGGGTCAACAGCTCTTTCTTGTAATTCTCCTATTAACTATCCTCGAAAGCCCATAATGAGCGTAGACGAGACCATTTAAAAGTGCCACACCAATCAAGTGCGACTTTGTGTGAAGTAAGCTCAAACTCCTAACAGGCGACTATAATAAGTAATGAGTAGAATAAGGTGACCTTATTGGTACAGTCTGGTCAGGAATCACTTATCACCCACGCCAGATGACTAGCATCCTACAACAGGTTGATTCCACTAGTAGGGTAACTAGTAGTGTTATTTAATTAACACTGATGCCATGGTTATGGTCGACGAATTAAGTGCCGCAAATACCTCACCCATTGGAAAGGGTGTAAAATGTTGCCTATCTCAGATCTGGGTCTTTTACTACAGTTCTCATTTACTTTCACGGTGACCATTGTTTAGTTCCCATCTATTAGTTAAAATTTTCTTTCGCAGTTTCAGTCTGTTAGTTACATTTGGATGGTTTAATATAATTGACCCCCGTGCTACTCTACTTTAAAGAGTAGTTTATGAATCAACACAATCATTAAGCCTACATATGACATTATCAGTTATAAAAGGATGGGCAACTCCCAAAGAAGTATCCACTAATCGTCAAAATTACCTACACACTAAGTAATGGTCTGCCGAACACCTGCTGGGACTGATGATTTGCGCATGATAACCTCAAAGCACCCAAAACAACTTGAGCAAATGTGCTGTCTTTGGATATTTCTCACCACAAACGGCAAGTAAATAAAATTAACGGATATGGTATGTAAGAAACGTGCCCACGGGCTAGTTTTAGACGTTAAAGTTGCCCTTTATAATGTCACAGTGGTTGGCTTGTACCTTACTTCTCAAATGTACAATTTTTCCTCGGGTGTAGAGAGTGTAAACGTGTTGTCAAGTCTAGACCACGTCCAAGTTTTCACAGGATACATTACGTGCATATAGACATCTTTGTTATTCCCGTTACTATTTCCTTTGGATATACTGATATATTATGTATAAAACAGGAGGTCACATATTGTATGGCAAAGGGAGTGTTGTAATAACTTCAACACAAATTATAAATCACGTCGTGGGCGCCATGTCTCAACAACAGGTAAGAGAGGAAACAACTGATACCACCATTTATGATGATGAGAACACACAGGAGTCCTCAATGAATCTTTGTAAAGGTAATCAGCGAATATTAGCTGTGTTCACTAAGCAGTAGTTAGGCAAAATCAGTTCGACGCTTTAGCTACACAAAACGTACTTTTACTCAGGAAACAAAGCCTTCATTGTCTTCTGTAGCTACCGCTCTTGTCAATGCATTGAGAGTGCGTCCAACAATGTTTCTTGTACGCGTTGTGGTAAATGTTACGTTGGGTAGTAATGAACAGGCATTATTTTGCTGTGAAATAGCATGTCAAATAGTCAAAGCTATGCGGATAATCTACTGCCTTAATTTTGGCATTTTTTGAGAAACTACATTTCCGTCTTAGTCTCTGGTCTTTTAATTTGGCATAAGGCAATTTTATTAGGACGTTTATAAAGGCCAATATCTCTCACACTACCTAAGCAATCATCTAAGTACAGAGCATTGCTTAATGAATTTCATAGCACAAGTTAAACAAGGCAGTTTGTTTGCGCTTAATAAATATTTACACTCTAACATGTATTCAAACCTACCGATACAGTTTAAATTATGTCTATTTTTTTCTGAAATTGTGTAAAACGGTATAATAAGCTCTAACGTTTAGATAGCGGCACCTTTGGCCCATGTAGGAACATCCCTTACTACAACGGCGTCACTTGAGTGATTCGCGTAATAGTTCAAGCGTGTGTGTTTGGCAAAGTCGAAACAGTTCCTTTAGGTTGTGATGTTTAAAGTGATCTACCGTATTGGTAGCTGCATTGGTAGCATCCAAAGCGATGATGGCATGAATGTGATTAAGGTGGCTTCCCGGATTGACAAAATCGGTGACATAAAAAGAAGCATCTCAACGTGGTACATAGTGGTGCATACAAGTACGATTTTATAGCCTGCATGTGAACCAGCTTGAAATTTAGGTTTGATTGAATATTTTTTTGTCATGGTATCTCCTAGGCAGTGTTTCTGACAAGATTACTGCTGAGATATTGTCAAAAAATATGAGGTCAAGCGGAAGATAATGGTATAAACTGAAATATTTGGAACGGGGTAGTAACGGCATACGTTTGGACGACTATAGCCGCGATATGTATCCGGTGGTAAATCTGAACAATATCTGGTCTTGACAATACATTAGCCCTATC